TTCTTTCTGTCTTTCTTTCTTCCTTCCTTCCTTCCTTCCTTCCTTCCTTCCTTCCTTCCTTCCTTCCTTCCTTCCTTCCTTCCTTCCCTTTCTTTCTTTCTTTCTTTCTTTCTTTCTTTCTTTCTTTCGAGATGACGGTACTCTCAAGAGGGAAATGAAGTTTTCAATCTGTATACTGAAAACTCATGGAACTTTTAAACAGTTTTAAAAGAATTTTGTTGAAGAGGTTCCAGAACTCTGTTCTGGTGCATTCCCCCAGAAAAAAAGCCCTGGCCCTGAGAATGTACAGGGTGTATTTTCCTCACTGTCAAGTAAGTGCAGCTGGTATGAAGGTGGTTTCCATATGAAATTGTGTATTAGCCTGAACAGCAACCTAAAGCTGTAGGGTTGCCGGCCTCCAGGTGGGGCCTGGGGATCTCCTGCTTTTACAACTGACCCTGGAGATAATGGCTGCTTTGAAGGGCGGACTCTATGGCATTGTACCATGCTGAGGCCCCTCCCCAAGCCTCTCCCTCTCCTGGATCCATCCCCAAAGTCTCCAGACCTGGCAACCCTATAAAGCTGGCATTTTGAAATCTGGGTCTGCTTTCATTTTCCTAAACCAAGAACAGCCTCCAGTGCCTGAGGAGGAAGCAGACAATGCTTCAGTCCTCTCAACATGGTTTCCATTTGGGAAGTGAAGAAGTACTAGAAAGATATTCCTACCTTCTTCCACAATCTTGGATGGTGTCCAGGTAGGGTTGCCATCCTCCAGGTGGGGCCTGGGGATCTCCCGCTTTTACAACTGATCTCCAGCTGACAGAGATCAGCTCCCCTGGAGAAAATGGCTGCTTTGAAGGGTGGACTCTGTGGCATTGTACCATGCTGAGGCCCCTCCCCTCCCCAAACCCCGCCCTCTACCGGCTCCACTCCCAAAGTCTCCAGGTATTTTCCAACCCAGACCTGGCAACCCTATGTCCAGGCAAGTGAATAGGAATGTTGTTCCTTCTGCCCCCTGTTGTGTTCCCAGGAAAGGGAGTGGGCTCAGCTAGCAACTCTAGGACTGATGGGCATGTTTATACCCCTGGCATTTTATTTCAGTCCATATTTTTGAAGGTTTTGGGGAATAATAAAGGAACAGTTTATCAAGTGCTGAATAAGATCTTTGAGCTAACATTGAAAAATAAGCCACAGTGCTGCTATTTTGATTTATACCGAAGAGTTGAAACAAATCTAAAATCAAGGAAATGTATAATCCTTAGAATACTTAAACTTGCCTTGACGTTTCTATGCTTTAAACATAAATCTCTGTTATAAAAATGGAAGAGGAAATATTTTTGTGCACATAGAAAGTTTGGACAATAAGCTTTGTTTAAGTAAAGTATTAACTTTCAAGTCCTCATGAGAGCTGAGTGTAGTGTTACCATTTCCTCAGTGCAGGAAGACATTGGCTGTATTCATGTAAACGGATATATTTTCATTTCTGCCCAGAACCATAACTAGCTGATTTTGTGCCTGAGGCAAGAATATAAAATTAGTCCCCCTATACTTTCATACTAATTATTTTGGTTAAAAGACATAAATACACAAGAGTAATAATAACACATTTATTTTATTCATGTGCCAAGCACACTTCCTCAGATACAGTGAAACAGAATTTCCTCAACCATTATATATAGGAAGAGGGGTGGGTGGGGGTTGATAGGAAGGGAATGTCTTACGTAATGTGCTATTCCAATTTTAGCTGTATTTACTGCTCAGTTACTTAGGCATCTTGACTCTAATTAGCTCTTCCGGGCAACTAACCCCCCCCCCCCATATGTAACATTTGAGGAAATCTGTTTCAATGAATCTGAAGGAGTGTACATGTATACATGCTAAGTCTCTCAGTTCTCACTTATACCCAGAATTGAACTTTGTTTGTCTTGAAAGTGCCAATGGACTCAAACTTTGTTCTCACCTCTCTTTGTTAACTCTTGTATTTGTATGCTAAATTACTGCCATTCACAGATCTTACCAAGCACCTTATACCAATCTCAGCTACAATCTCACAGTTACATAAGCATCAATTCTAACTGGTTCTTCCCCCCCATGTTCTCTCTTCCTATATGTAACGGTTGAGGACACTCTGTTTCACTGTGTCTGAGGAAGTGTGCTCGCACACGAACGCTTATACCTTAAATAAAACTTTGTTGGTCTTAAAGGTGCACCTGGATGGATTCACACTTTGTTCTACTGCTTCAGACCGACATGGCTACCCCACCTTAATCTACATTTATTTTGGTTATCATTCACTTTTTCTGTGCCACTCAGTGCTGTGTGTGTGCCTGAGGTAAGTGCCTAACTGGCCTTGCCCTTGTTACAGCCCTGTTTGTGCCTGTGTGATTTGAATGTAAAATCTACATAGAGATGATCTGAAGATCACTGCAGAACGTCCCTGCATCTCTTAAACGTGTGTGCATTACTCTTTGCCATCATGGAGTAAATCCTCGGCCTTTGCCCATCCCAGCTTCCTTGGAATGCAGGTTGCCTGTCATTGGGGAACGGCAACAAAGTCTGGGCCTCCATCTCTGTATCTCCCCAG